TAAACTGTTTATATTTTGGGAGTTCGTGGCTGAGGTTGCCTTTGTTAAAGTCACCAAGAGCAATAACTAGGCAGTCCGGATAAGTCCTCTCCACACACAGTATCTGGTCGGTAAGTGTGCTCTGTGCCTCCTGCACATTAGCATGTGGTGGAATGTACACACCGTCCAGTATGAATGAGGAGAACTCTCGGGGGGAATAAAAGGGTTTGCAGTTGATGATAAGAGTTTCCAGAGTGGGAGAACAGTGCTGCAGAATCACTGTCACATCGTTGCACCAGCCAATGTTTGTGTAAATTCCTCCACCTTTTGATTTGCCGGAGAGCTCCGTGTCACGATCCGCTCTGAGCAGCTGGAATCCTCCAAGCTGCAGTGCCAAGTCAGGAATCGATCCACACAGCCAGGTCTCAGTGAAGGACAAAACACAAGATGAAGAAAAGTCCCTGTTTCTACTAACCAGTTGCTGAAGCTCGTCCAGTTTATTGCTTATGGAACGCACGTTGGAGAGAAATATTCCGGGTAGCGGCGTGCGAAGTCCGTGGCTGCGGAGTCGCACCAGTGTCCCGGCCCTTTTCCCTCTCCTGTGGCGTTTGAGCGCTCGAATGCAGGTGAGGGAACCTTTTACGAGAATGTCCAGTAATTCCACGGAAGAACAGAGAAAATAACTTGTTGCTAGTTGTAGCTTCATGGAGATGTATCAATCTTCTCTTCAACTCAGTGAATACATTTTTTTCCTGAAATGTCAAACAATTAACACAAACGGCAGAATCAGCCAATGTACACACAAAAAATTCCACAAAAATAACACATAAAATAATTGTGGTTCGTTGAGCAACTTTTTAGCAGTCGATTACAGCGCGTGCTATATTAGCAAAACATCCCAGATCTGATTTGTCAAAATGTCTCTCTAATAATAAGTTGGTAAGGCTCTGGCTCTTACTAAACTGGACAATTAAGGTTGAAGGTCTAAAGGCAGACCATGACCCTTCGCGTGCGGAAGTCTGTGACAGTGAGACTAACTGGAATGGTTCTTAGTGAATTGACCCTGCGTTTTTATTAGATTACCTGTGAGCTGCTAAATCGGATACAGGAAGCCCTAAGAGAACGTACAGCTAAGCCTTAAAGGCTATTGTGCTAAAGGAAGGGCAAACCGTTAAACCCCAGAAAAGCCCATATCATAGAGGATAAAAACACTACTTGCCAAGTAATTGAATTTAGACAGAAAACTGTGCTTGACACTACTGATAATCTACCTTCTTTCATTTATGAAACAGGACACTATTGGCCAGCTGGACACTGAGCTGAGGAACATGAAGGGGGAGATGGCGCTGCACCTGAGGGAGTATCAGGACCTGCTCAATGTCAAGATGGCCCTGGACATAGAGATAGCCGCTTACAGGTGCTGACTAAAGGACAACCCCAACAGCAGGGGTGTTTCCCAATCGCGAGTAAAGCTGCTCCAGAGCCACTATTTCAAGCATACTACGTCATCGAGTGCCACCGAAGTACTGTGCAAATGTCCAGCCTACTTGGTATTCTACCGAGCCCGGCGTACTTAGTTTGGATACATTTCGAGGCTGCACATGTGTAGACTCCGCGGTCTTAAAATCCCCACAATGCTTTGCGCACGGACCAATTTCCCCAAATCTGTGGCGAAAAATGTAAGGTGGGCCTCTCATATGACGCACCTCCGCACTTGCTAGCCTGTTCCACTCTTAGTTTTTCGAATGCCAGGAAGTATTCTTGCCTCGCTTCTGAAGCAAGACGCTCGGAAGACATGTGCTACCAAGCAAGCATACTCGCGATTGTGAAACACCCCAGATCTCTTGACTTGTAGACTCATCAAACATATCTATAAGGTGCTTTAAGTCTGTGTGTCCAGTCTGACATATGTTTCCTTTGGTCCTTTGAGGAAACTGCTGGAGGGGGAGGAGACTCACTTTAACTCAGGGATCTCCTTTCGTGCTGCCAGCTACAGCTACCAGCCTCGAGCCGCAGCCGGCCCCTCCAGGAGCCCGAGGGAGAAGGAGGGAGGGACCACCAAGGAGAGCTTCAAGGAGAGCAGTGAGGAGAAAGATGAGGCGGACATCAACTCCAACAACTGAAGCGAGACTACCAGGGGAATGTGGAGGAAGGAGATATGTACTTCATATGTAGTTGGTTTAGTCGCTGTATTTGTTTTTCTTAGTTTTTTTGGAACATATATAAATTGTGCATAGATAGATTAGGTATCGTTTACACATACACAGGTTTTACCTCCCCATTCCCCAACAATCCAGAACAGCGAATAGCCTACATGGTGCACAAACATGATGAAACTATGTCATAAAAAAGAAAAGAAAAATAACAAAATAATGTATTTATTAAAGCCAACCCCAAGATAAATGTTTGAAATCATAGCTTAAACTGTTTGGGTGATAATACATTCCTGGTAGTCTCTGCATGTGGCAAAGGAGGTATTTTGCTGACTTTTGCTATAAAATTAGGAGTTCCCGTAGTAACCATGTACAGAATGAAATATCTGTCTAATATATTCAGTATGTTGGTTCAGTTAAAGGTAGGGTAGGTCATTCACTTCAGAAACACTTTTTGTTATATTCCATGGAATGCTCTTAACATCCCGATAGCAATGAATACATTACATGTTTTGACAATAAATACATAAAAAAATGTCATCTGTGGAAGGCGTAGCGCTGTAAAAAGCACGACCAATCATGTGAGTCAGATGATTGGATGGCCTACCTGCCTGTCAGCCTTCCATCTCGTGCATAAACTTATCTCGTGCCCTCATTGGTCATGTGCGCGTTCCTGTGTGTTGGAGGAGGGGCTCTGTAAGGAAGTCTGAAGGAAGGGGCAGATTTATTTCGGTTGTGTACTTTCAAATTCTAGCGCACTCGAACTGGTTTCTCCATTTTTAACTACCCTAGCTTTAATCTATAGTTTGGATTTACCCACCCACTGGAAAACCACTCACTGTTGTTTCAGTAGCATTCAATAAAATAACATGGCTGTCAAATCACGTCTTTGTTTTCATGTGCAAATCAGCGTAATCCCGAATACATTCAAAGCCATCTCCAGGTAGATTTCGACACCAGGGCAATTTATCTAAATTGTTGGCAATTATCTTACCGTTCCTCAATGTATTTATAAGTCAAATGATTTGCAGCTATACTTTAATGATTGCATACTTTTAAAGTTTCTATGACTTCTGTATCAAATTCCTAGGACTTGCAGCACTTTGAGCAGATTACCATACAACTCTACTAAAGGATAGAAGAAGATCAGAAATAGTTGGCTTTTGAAATGGGGAATTCATTTAGTGTAGCAACATATTAAACAACGACACACACTGGTGGGAGAAGAGCATTTACACCGGGGCAAAAAAGTATTTAGTCAGCCACCAATTGTGCAAGTTCCCCCACTTAAAAAGATGAAAGAGGCCTGTAATTTTCCTCCTATCTCAAATATGAGAGACAAAATGAGAAATAAAAAAAATTCCAGAAAATCACATTGTTCTGATTTTTAAAG